TCCTTCCTTCCTTCCTTCCTTCCTTCCTTCCTTCCTTCCTTCCTTCCTTCCTTCCTTCCTTCCTCCCTCCCTCCCTCCCTCCCTCCCTCTCTCTCTCCCTTTCTTCATGACAGGAAAAAAGCAGCATACAATCAATGACATTCTATCCAGCAAGAAACTGAGGGACCAGAATGCCTATGTGGAGGTATTCAACCCGGGTGTCCTGGAGAAGCTGCAGAGGGTGCCTGGCTCCCTGTGATTAGCTGCATGGGGTGGGATGGGATGGGGGGGTTCCTCTCAGGGCAGCTCACTATGCTTTGGCTACCAGCACAGGAACAGGCAGAATGTGAGGTCCCTGGGGGCCTGAACCCTGGTTCCTACCTATCCCCGATGCTGCTCCACACTGTCTCCTCCCCTAATGCACCCCTCGACCTCCCCACCAGAGCTGCATTGACTGGAACCGGGCAGTGCTGAAGCGGGAGCTGGGCCTGGCAGAGGGTGACATCATCGACGTCCCACAGCTCTTCAAGCTTGTGGGGAATTCCAGAGGGAACCGGAAGGCCGAGGCCTTCTTCCCAAACATGGTAAGGAGGGGACAGCCACCACCCGACTTCCTCTGACTCAAATGGCTTCTTAAACCGCAGTGTGCCTCCAGGAGATGCCTAAATCAGGCCTGAGGCCAGTCCAGGAGGCTCTTCCTTGCTCCCTTTGAGGCTCACGTGACCCTCCCGGCACCCAGAGCCTCTGCTGAGCCTCACACAATGGCAGGAGTGGGTTCTCTCATTGCCTTGCTTTCCAAAGGCAGTTCAGGTTTTGTTCTCTAGCACAGAAACACACAGCAGGTAAGAGATGGCAAAGCCGGGGCCTGGTTTCAAACCAGCCCTACCTCCACTGCCTCCCCACCTCCATACATGATTCAGGGACTGGCAGACCCGGGCCATAGAAAAAGTGTTCTGGGGCGGCATCCATGGCTGGGGAGGACGCCCATTTGGAACAAGACCTCAGAGTGAGTGGTTGCAACCCCCACCCCCAGGCGGGGTCAGATTGGACCTTTCAGAGTACAGGCACCCTTGCTACTTAACTCTGACCCCAAGCACATCATCCCACCTCCCACTGTGTTTTTAACCAGCCTTCTGTAAAGAAGGCCCAAGGACCGGGTGGAAACTTACCCCGATGTAAAGCTGGGGGGCCTGTAGTTCAGGAAGGGACCAGCAATATTTATCAGCACGGTTGTTTTCAGACAGGGCTCCCTGGAGCTGTGGGATTCCCCTACCGCAGCTCAAATCTGGCCATTGACGTTTCTCTTCCACATGTTGAGCTAATGCTGGAGACTGTTTAGTAGGAAAACCTGTCTCCCTCCCTTCCTCCCTCCCTGAACAAAGTCCCTGAGGGCCATGGACCATGGTTCACCGTGGTCTAGCTTCTCAGTGAGCTTAAACAGCACATGACATTTTGCCCATAGACTGCTTGTTACAGGAAGAAAACACCGTGTGAGAGGTGGAGGCAGGAGGGTCCAGAGTTCAGGGTCAGCCTTGGCTACATGGTATATCTGAGGTCAGCATGGGCTACATGAGCTCCCGCCTCCAGAAAGAGACGTGTGGGCTGGGAGGAATGGCTAAGCCGTTGAGAGCGCTGCTGCTCTTCTCAAGGACGCACATTCCATGTCAGGCAGACGGCCCTCCAGCTGCCTGTAACTCAGCTCTAGAGCACCTGAGGGTGCCTTCTGGACTCCTTTAGGCACCTGCATGTACCTGGAAGATACAGACAACATGAGTCAACATAAAACTTAAGGGCGGGGTATGGACAGGTGGCTCAGTGTCTTAAGAGCACGTGCTGTGCAATCCCGAGAGCCAGAGTTTGGATCCCGGCACTCAGGTAAAAAGCCTGAATAAATACCTACCTGTAATCCCTGCTCCGAGGGACCTAGAGACAGAAAAATCCCTGGGGCTTGCACGCTTCAAGCCTAGCTGGGAAAACAGGACCTGCAAGTTCAGGGAGAGACCTTGCCTCAAAGGAATACGGGGAGGACAACAGAGGGGGATACAAGAAGCCCTCCTTGGCCCTGTGTGCACCCTCCCCTGCCCAACACACACACACACAAATAAATGAAACAGGGACAAAAGAAACAGGCCTAGTTCACTAGATCTGTGGATCCTACACTAGCAGCTGTTTCCTCTGACCTGAGTCCCCGCTTCCCGCAGGTGAACATGCTGGTGCTGGGCAAGCACCTGGGCATCCCCAAGCCCTTCGGGCCCATCATCAATGGCCACTGCTGCCTGGAGGAGAAGGTGCGCTCCCACCTGGAGCCGCTGGGCCTGCACTGCACCTTCATCAATGACTTCTATACCTACCACGTGTACCACGGAGAGGTCCACTGCGGCACCAACGTGCGCAGGAAGCCCTTCGACTTCAAGTGGTGGCACATGGTGCCATGAGGCGCTGCCTCTGGCTGGCTGCCATGAAGATTGTCCTGGCCAGAGATCTGGGGATATTAGGGCTTCCCCAGAGGTGGGCATCCCTCCCTGCCACTGTGGCTTGCTCGCTTCACCCATGCCAGCTCTTGTCCCATCTCCGTATGTCCTAAAATGGTCCCTGCATAGCAAACTCAGTTCTGCTTAGAGATGCTGCAGTAAAAAATGTGGTTATGTGTCTTGATTTTACTGCCCAGTTTCTCCCCCAGCTCCTTCCTCTGTAAAGCACACTGAAATCAGTTTCGAGGCACTCAGGAGGTAAATGCTTCAACTATGGCTGGGAGCTGGGAGGTCCCTGACAGGTTGGTTGTCTTTTCAAGACAGAGTTTCTCTGTGTAGCCTTGGCTGCCCTGGAACTCATTCTGTAAACCAGGCTGGTATCAAATTCATGAGATCCACCTGCCTCTGGGATCAAAGGCATGTGCTGCCACAGCCCGGCTCTCTCAATTTACCCTGATGTGTGTCTCTTTTTCTTTAAGGTTTATTTATCATTTATACATTATTCTGCCTGCATGACAGAGGAGGACACCACATCTCACTATAGATAGTTGTGAGCCACCATATGGTTGCTGAGAATTGAACTCATGACCTTTGGAAGAATAGCCAGTGTTCTTAACCTCTGAGCCATCTCCCCAGTCCCTCTTTTTCTTTTTTTTTAAGCAGTGCCCAAGATGGAACCAAGGGCCTCAAGGGTTCCTTGCTAGACAAGTGCTTTTCTACATCCTCAGCACTTAAAAAGACACTCCTGGGCTGGAGAGCTGGTTCTTGTGATGCTAAACATTTGAGTTTGGTCACACCCATTGATTATGACTTCTCAGATAAACTCTTATGTGTCATTGAGCTCTCATTTCTCTCTTTCTCTCTCCCCCCCTCCCACCTTCCTTTCCTTCCTTTTCTCTTCTTTTGACAGAGGTCTCTCTATGTAGCCCTGGCTCATCTGGAAGTCACCAGGCTGGCCTTAAATTATGGAGGACTGCGTGCCTTTGCCTCCCAACTGCTGGGATTAAAAGAGTGGCCATCATGTCCTACTGCGTGTGTGTGTGTGTGTGTGTGTGTGTGTGTGTGTGTGTGCACTCATTCTCATACCATAGTGCACATGTGAAGATCAGAGGACAACTTGCCAGACTGTTTTCTCCTTCCACCATGTGTGTTCTGCACATCAGGCTCTGTGGCAAGTGTCTTTACCCACTGAGCCACCTGACCAGTTCTGACTTTTTTTTTAACCTCATCAGGCCAAAAATTCCCTTCATCCCTCCTCCTTTCCTCAGAAACTGCTGAGAGTAACCTGAGGCAGATGTGGTCACAAACCAAGTGTTCCTAAACCCCAGGAAGGGACCCAGTCCCTCATACTGGGACCAAAGCTGTTTTGCTGGGCTGGAGGCCAGTAGCTGTGAGGCTGTCTCCCTCCCTTTCCAGGCCCCACAGGAAGAGTGCCTCTGCCTCTTCCAGCTCCTACTGACACTGACTTTGGGGTTCTGCCTTTGCTGTCACATCCTTCCTTCCTTCCTTTTTCCTTTCTTTCTGAGACTGGATCTTGCTAGTAGCCCCAGCCTACCCACTCCCTCAGAGTGGCCACCCTCAGAGTCACAGCTGTCTTTCTGCCTCAGCCTCTTCAGTGTACAGGTTAGAGGTGGACACCTCCAAAGCCAGCTGGAAGCTGGTACCGTCATTCCTTCTCTAATAGGAGGGTAGACTGGAGAAGAGAGGAATGGAGGTGGCTCTCTCTAAGCTCTGTCCTGCACCAGGGTCTGGGAAATAAGCTGGAACAGTTCCTCTATAAGTCTCCTTAACTAGCCCAGGCTGGCTTCATACACTTGATCCTCCTGCCTCAGTCTATCAAGCTCGGGGATTGCAGACGTAAGCCATCACGGTCCACTTTCAGTGAGGGAATGATGGAAATTGAACCTAGAACCTAGAGATAGATAAGTTCTCTGCCAAGGAGCCACCCTCCCACCCATCCCCTTTTAAAACTTTGACACAATCTTATTGAATTGCCCAGTCTAGACTTGAACTCACTGTGTAAGCACAGGCTAGCCTACCTCAGTTGGATTTTTTTTTTTTTGCCAACAAATATATACTATAGAATGCAAAATAGTATTTTTTGGGTTTTGAAACAGTTTCATTCTGTAACCCAGGCTGGTCTCAAACTCAGTGAAATCCTCCTGCTTCCATCTGGGTGCTGAAGTGGATAACAGGCAGGAACCACCACACCTAGCTTAGTGGTTTGACCTGGGATGCGTTACGGAAAGAGACCAGAGGCTCACCGATGTACCTGTCATCTCAGCAACTCATAGGGTGTGAGGACCTTGACCCCTCTATTTTAGCACTTATGAAATACACAATAAAGGTTCCTTTCTGCTTTGCGGGCTCAGCCTAGATGGACAACAGCTGTAAGCAAGGTTCCACAGGTTTAGTCCATGTACCAGCTCCTGCTGCCCCTCCCATCCCCGTGCTAACAAGAGGTGCAGCTGTGAGTGACTAGATCATCCTTATCACCAGGGGGGAAATGTCTGTGGGGACGGGGGATGCGCAGAGCTGATCAGCTTCCCTCACACTTCTGTGAGCATAGTGCCAAGCACCCCTCCCTCGTCAGTTGCTGTGACCCTTTCACAGTTCCTCATGTTGCGGTGACCCTCAACCATAAAAATTATTCTGTTGCTACTTCCTAACTGTAATTTTGCTAATGTTATGAATCGTTAAGTATCTGATATGCAGACCATCTGACAACATGTGATCCCTCCCAAAGTGGCTCTGACCCACGGTTGAGAACCCTTGTCCTACAACCAAGACCCCCTCAACCTTGAAGCCTAGCACCCTGATTACAGCCTCTTAAGTCCTCTGGAGACTTTCACCCTCCCTGGCAGTTTCAGCTGAGTCTGCTAGTGTCTTGGTCCATATGGATTCCAACTTCCCAGAACTCCCCCACCCCCTGCTCTCAGGGGAAGGCTCTAAGCCATTAGCCTTCAATTCCCCAGGGCTGCAGGGTCCACAGGCAGCAGCTGCTAACCCACTGATACTGACTGAAAGACCCTCCCCTTTCCCTACCACCTCCCACAGCTGCCAGGGAGAAAAGCAAGTTCACCTGTGACCCCTTAACAAGGGGGCTGACCCGGGTGTTCCTTACCCTATTAAAGAGGCAGGCAAAGCCAAACCTGAGCCCTGGGCAGTTACTCTGGCTGAGAAGAGCCACTCCCGAGAGTGGCTAGCCAGGAAGCCCTGCCATGACCTTCCAGAGTGTCCTCAGACTGTCCCTGGACAGCCCCACCCAAGCCATCTGCGTGGTGGGCATGGAACTCACCTTGGACATCAGTGGGTGAGGCTCCGGGGTGTCGGTAAGGGGGTAACCAGAAGGAACGGTCTGGGGAGAGTCCCTGTGTCCAGGAGTCTAAGGTCAGTTCTCTTTGCTCCACTGGCTGGTCCTAAGGAATCCAGGACTGGGTCTCCGGGGACCCCCCATCCCAGCACAGGATACTGACTCACAGCTTTCTTCTGCCTCTTGCTTGTAAGATCTCCCTTAGCTTTGACCGAGGCCATGAGGGGTAGGTGAGGGGGCGTCTTGCCTGTAGTTTGTGCGTTTACTCGCACCGTGCTTGGAAGCTGAGGCTTGTATATAAAAAGGCTCGCTCACTCGTGTGCCATTGCGGGAGGGAGAGGTTGGGGCTGGAAATGATCAGAGGAAAAATTGGAGGTTCCAGGGGTAGGAACGGTAAGAGAAAGGCTGAAAACATTAGCTCCCCACACACACACACACACAACTTCACTGACCGAATTCTCAGTCTCGCAAGATGGACGAGGGTTGGAGGGCTGTCCTTCTGAACCCTGTTGCTTTCTATGCTACTGTCTCCTAACATCGTCTCTGGCAAAGCAGGTGTGCACCCAAGAATTGCGAATCCTTCACTATCCGTGGCTCCCCAAGGGTGTTGATCCACCTCTCCAGCGCTGTCATTACCGGGGAGGAGGGCGGTGTGGTGTGGCGGCCGCTGATGCAACCCACAGAGGCCCTAGTGAGGATGGTGTCGCCCAGCCCAACCATAAACGAGGACAAGGTGAGCCACGGAGGAGAAGGGAGGCGGGTAGCCTTTACCTACCCAGGTGATTCCAATATGGCAGCCGGCAAGACTAGAGCCCATTGGCAATAGACCGGCCCAGGGCAGACCCAGGTTCAGCTGTCTGTGGGCAAGGGAGCAAGGCAGGAAGGGGATGGTGAGATGTCTGTGTCTGTGACAGGCAGTTTCCTGCGGCGAATTCACTCCCTTGGGTAAGCGCACTGTGTCTTGAGTAGGTCAGAACCAATGTTGTGAGCTCTGGGCCAAGCGGTGTGTACAAAGTAAGTCTAGGTAACCGGGAAGAGACTCAAAAGTACAAGGTCTCACCTGAGGTACAGAAAGATCTCAAGGCCAGCAGGAGCAACTTCAGCGAGACACGCTCTGTCTTGTTCTTGTTTGTTCGAGACGGGCTTTCCCTGTGTAGCCCTGGCTATCTCGGAACTTATTCAGTAGACCAGGCTGGCCTCAAAACACAGGTGACCCACCTGCCTCTGCCTCCTGGGATTAAAGGTGTGCGCTGCCACTGCCCGTCGAGACACAAGCTTAAAATCCTAAGTGGTCCAGGCCCCAAGGCCAGCTCATGGTGGGTCACTGGAAGCTTAGATGCTGGTCCATAAAAGCCAGGGTCAAATGCTTAGGCCCAGTCTGTGGTGCTGGGGCTGTGCTCCTGCCCTTACAGATTCGCTATGCTGTCTCCACAGGTGCTGATCTCCTACTACTCTCCCGATAAAGAGGTACCCCTGGCCACAGCTGTGCTATTACTCACCGGCATTGGTGAGTCTTGATTCCTCTTGAGAGCAGGGCAGGTGATGCCAAGCAAGGAAGAGGATTCTCTGTGCATAAATCGTCTATTGGTCCCATGGCATCCACATACCCATTCCCTTGAAGTTCAGTCACTCCTCCCTTCCTGTCTTAATTTACTGGATGACAAAAACAACCAGAATTTGAATTCTCTGCCCACCTCTCTGTTCTTGTCACTGACCAGTCTGGTCCAAAGTTACTGTGTCACCTCACCATAGACCTCTATCCTTAGCTTTACTGATCTAAGAAAGCCTTACTCTTCTATGTGTGAGCACTCTCAAATGAGGGTAGGAGGGGAGCCCATCAGATGGCCTGGGACTGGAGTTAAAGGTGGTTTTGAGCTACTTCCTGATGCATGCTGGGAACTGAACTCAGATCCTCTCTAGCTGCTCTTTTCACAGCTGCTTTATATAAAGACCCAGGTGGCCACTGTGGACGACTCCCTCCCTGACTTATTCGTGGAAATTGGCCTGTCTCTTGAAGACCCGGCCTCTAACTAGCTGTGTCCAACCTGTGGCCCAGTATAGCTACGGCTATATCCCAATATAAAATTGCACACTTAAAAAAAATTAATATTTTTGTTGGGCCATGGTGGCACATGCTTTTAATCCCAGCACTTGGGAGGCAGAGGCAGACAGCTAAGTTTGAGGCCAGCCAAGTCTACAGAGTCCAGGACAGTCAAGGCTACACAGAGAAACCCTGTCTCAAAAAACCACAAAATTAGAATTTGAGACTTTTTTAATGTGTGATTTACTCTTTAACTCCATTGCATGGCTCTCCAGAACAAATCTTGCAGGTGCAGATGCTAAACTTCTTGACATTGAGATAGCACATTAGGTTTTCTATCAACTGTGTCAGAAGTTGGGCTCACCCTGTGAGTCACCAGAGCTTCTGGGCCCTGTTAGCAGCCCAGGTGTCTGAGATGCCCACCCCCCTTCCCTTTCAGAGGTCTCCCTGGAGGCAGACATCTATCGAGATGGACAGATGGACATGCCAAGTGACAAGCAGGCTAAGGTGAGGCTGCCTGGTCAAGGGAGTGGGGAAGGACCTAAGAGAGCCATCCCTGACCCTAAGGCCCACGTTTATCTGACCGATGTGTCTTTAAGTTGCACTGATATACCCCAAGTCAAGTCAATGAAGTAAACTTCTGATTTACTGAAAAGTAGCCAGGTGTTTGTGCGCGTGTGTGCCTAGCTAGGGGTGTGGGGTATATGTGTGGTTTTTAACCCCAGCATCCTGGGGTAGAAGCTGGAAGATCAGACTTTGAAGACCCATCCTCAGATAACATAGGGTATTTCAATCCAGCTTGGGCTACAGCCAATCCTGTCTCAAAATAAAGCCAGATGTGGTGGCACCTGCCTTTCATCACAATACTGGGATGGCTAATGCAGGATGGTGAGCTTTTAATGCCACTGCAGGCTTTTACACGTCAAGACTTTGTCTCAAAACAAAACCAAAATAGACTGGATGTCCAGAGGCACTGGCCTGGTTATGTGGTCATCTAGAACAGTTAGCCGCCACCCTGGACCTCCAGTGGGGCATTCCTCTGTCCTTACATTTCCAAAACCAGGCAGCAACCATTACCTGTTATTAGCTTTTGTCCAAAGCCCTCTGTTCCCACAGGTCATCTGTCTCAAACTGTTTCCTGGGTCCCCAGGGACTGTGATGACAAAGATCTACATATGTTCAGCAGATGGTTTGTCTCTTTCCTGCCTAATGTCCCTGTCATTTGCAGAAAAGATGGGTGTGGGGCCCAAACGGCTGGGGCGCCATCCTGTTTGTGGTTTGTAATCCCAGTAATGCAAAAGTGCCTGATGACCAGTCCAGCCCTGAGATGACCCCCAAAGGTACTTCCCCTTGATGTCCCCACTTCTCTCAAGCTCTGGCCACCCCTCAGCACACAGGCAGGTCACAGCTACTCTCAGGGAGACAAATCTTTTTTCACAGGTTGGAAGTCAGGTGCTCCCTGGAAGAGCGTTTGCTTAACGTGTACAAAGGCCCTGGGTGACATTACTGGCATACCCAAGGTGTTTATGTCTTGAAGCTGTGTAATGAGAGGCCACATGGCTTCATACAATGATGTGTATAGGTTTTAAAAGATCTAGTTTTAAAAAAGTGTGAGCCATGTGCATGCCTGTAATCCCAGCATTTGAGGAGGCGGAGGCAGGCAGCTCTGAGTTGGAGGCCAGCCTGGGCTACAAAGTGAGTCCAGGACAGCCAAGGCTACACAGAAAAATCTTGTCTCGAAAAACAGATCTTTTCATAGCCAGGCAGTGGTGGTGCATGCCTTTAATTCCAGAGCACAGGAGGCAGAGGCAGATGGATTTCCGAGTTCAAAGCCAAGTCTGTAAATTGAGTTCCAGGACAGCCAGGGCTAAAGAAACCCTGTCATAAGGAACAAAAAAAAGTTATTTGTTACATGTGTGTCTACATGAGCTTATATGTGTACCACGTGTGTGGTGTGAGCTGGAGCCCCTGAGGTCAGAGGGTAGCAGGTCTCCTGGAGCTGGAATTTCATTAGCTGGAAGCTACCTGAGCTGTGGGTGCTGGGAGCCAAACCCAGGTCCTTTGGAAAAGCAGCAGCTGCTCTTAACCACTGCGCCAACTCTCCAGCTCGTCTGCGTATGTGTCTTTGAGACAAAGGTCTCGTGTAGCCCAGGACTTTGTGCATGTTAAGCAAGCACTCTACCAGCTGAGCTACATCTTTAGCCCCCATGAAAAGGCTTAACAGCATTTCCTGGCTGTGAGTGAGCCTTGTCTTGACACCTGGGAGGTAGAGATGAGACGCTGACCTCATGTGGTGGCTGAGAATTCCCATTCCGTGAAAAGGGGTGTGAGCACCTCTCTCCAGGGAGCAGGCTGGAGGACCTCTGGCAAGGGCAGATGATAGCTTATACCTGTTACCTCGACACCTGGAAGGCTGAGGCAGGGGGACCACTAAGTTCAAGGCCAGCCTAGATGACCAAGAAAGACTTGATCCAATTTCCACCCCTAACCCCGTTGGCTCACTTTTCCCATCCTGGAGCCTGGCCTGAGCCTCTGACCATCCTTTTGCCCAGAAATACAGAACCTGTCTCAGATGACCCTGATTGTAGAGGGCCCCAACCAAATCCTGAAGGACTACCGCCTGGTCCTCCATACCTCCGAGGAAGAGGCGAAGAAGGCCAGAGTCTACTGGGGCCAAAGTAAGTCTCCCGCCCCCACTCTGCCTCAGTGTGCTGGTCAAGTGGTGGCCCTATTCCACCTCTAACAGGCTGCCCAGAAGCTAGAGTCACAGGTCAACAGGCTGTGTGGCCAGGTCTGTGCCGCAGGGGCTGTCTGGCTGCCACCTTTACCAGAGCAAGTTTACACACACCATGGGTTAGCCAGTTCATCTGGATGATGCCAGGTTTCTCTTGACTGTGAAAGAAGTGCATTTGAGTTGATAGGACACCCTATAGATAATATCCTGAAGTAACTCCTGCTAGGAGGATCCATTAACAAAAACAAAAACAATCTTAAGGGTTAGAGAAATGGCTCAGAGGTTAAGGGCACTGACTGCTCTTCCAAAGGTCTGGAGTTCAATTCCCAGCAACCACATTGGTGGCTCATAACCATCTATAGTGATATCTGGTGCCCTCTTCTGGCCTACAGGCATACATGCAGGCAGAACACTATAAATAAATCTTAAACAAACAAAAAACCAATTGTATGTGGGTGTCTTGCCCACATATTGTCTGTCTAGCCTGGAAGCACCTTCTTAGCCAAGGCCTCGCTATAGTAAACTTCAGAATCTAGTGACTCAGAAGCCAGAGTGGCAGCCATCATGGCACCCCATCCCCTGATCACTCCCTAGACAGCAAGTGGCATGTGCTGTTTACGGTCCAGGTTGACTGAAGGACCTGGGGAAAGGGTGGAATGGACAGGCAGTTGTTGGCCTTGACTTCCCATAACTGGCCTAGGAGTGGATGAGAAAGGACCCAGGTGGCGACAGTGATGCCAGGGAGATGCTTTGGTAGCTTAGCTGTCAGATGATGTCCAATGAGAATGAGCAGTCTGGAGTCTAGCTACTGACAACGTAGTCACCAACCTTTAGGGCTCTTCTGTGCTTTTTCACTTGATCTAAGAGACTGAAATGGGCTTTGTGGTGGCAGTGGCAGGGTACCAAAGCTCTGGGTCCCTCCAGATGTCCCTGGAGGGGGGGGGGGTAGGTCATCCATCCATCCTCGTGTTTGTGGCTGGCAATCCTGGTGAGGCTGCCAAGCCCATCTTCGCATGCCAAGTCTCTCTCACCTTTTGGGCCTTCGTTCCAATGTTCCTCCGTGGCTGTATTTATGAAACCACCTGTGTCATTCAGACTGAACACTCGAGTTGTGGTCCTCTGCTGAGTCCCAACTCCTAACATGTCCGCTAAGGGCCTTCGAAAGCCTGTTGGTGCTGAGGCTGGGGCGGTAGTTCTGTCAGGAAAACACGTTAATCGTGAACTAACCTGAGTCCGGACCCCAGCACACACTGAAGTCTAAGTGAGGTATGGCTGTGCATCTGGAGCCCCAGAGCTGGGCGGGTAGAGAGAGATGGCAGGATCCTCGGAGCTTGCGGCCCAGCCAGTATTAGCCGGCTGGATCTGTAAGCTCCTGGTCCAGCAACAGAGATCTTGTCTCAAATAAGGTAGTGATTGAGGACGACGCCTATGCCAACCTCTGGTCCCCACACACGTGTGCACACACATGCAAACACGGTATGGTGGTGCACTACATGGCTCTTAAGAGTCCCTGAGCAAGACAGGTCACTAGCCTGCTATGCTTGCCCACCAGGAACAGTAATGCCAGCCACGCAGCTGTCACAGCTGGGCACCCCGTTTATCTCTCCTAGAAGCCTTACCTTCTCTCTTTGTACCGGTATTGGGACCTGACAAGCCCTTCTATGAACTGGACCCCTTAAAGAACCAAGGCAAAGAGACTTTCTACATAGAAGCCATGGAGTTCCCATCTGCCACCTTCTCCGGCCTGATCTCCTTCTCTGTCTCCCTAGTGGAAAAGGCTCTTGATAAGGTATGCTACCGTGTCAGCGAGGGCTCCTGGGCTTGGTGGAGGGAGGTGAGCTACGGCACAAGGCAGGACACCAAGGAGTACGGCTCTCGGTCCCTCCAGCTGGGGCTGTTACAGGAAGCTGTGGGCACAGGGAAGGTGTAAGGGGGAAGGTGGCAGATGAAGCCAGGTCCTGATGGAGAGCCTGTCATACATTGCAGTCACTCCCAGAGCTGCCACTGTACAAAGACACTGTGGTGTTCCGGGTGGCACCTTATATCTTCACGCCCAACACCCAAGTGCCCCTGGAGATTTACCTGTGCAGGTAAGAGGGCCTCAAGCCACCCTGGCAACGTGGGTCCCTGGCACCTCTCTCCCCTCCATCCTCTCCCCAGGCAGTTGGGAGACTCAAGTAAGGTCTCTAAAGAGTTTCACTGGGTGTCAAGGATAAATGCTGGGCCTGGGCCTGGACTTAGAATCCCTGCTAGGATACTTGCCAATTGTGACTCGCCAGTGCAGTCAACTCTGAGGGTCTAGTGGTTTGTAAAACTGGATGTCTTGGGCTGGAGAGATGGTTCAGAGGCTAAGAGCACTGGATGTTCTTCCAAAGGTCCTGGGTTCAATTCTCAGGACCATGAGGTGTGTCTCACAATCATCTACAATGAGATCTGGTGCCCTCCTCTGCTGTGTAGACACACATGTTGGCAGAGGATTGTATAAATAATAAATCTTAAACTGGATGCCTTGATATCAACCTCAAATGTTACTTTGTGCCCAATGAAAGGATGTTCACCGTGGAGCCACAAGTGTTGGTGGCAATCCCAGCACTCGGGAGACAGAGGCAGGGCAGTCAGTTTGAGGCCAGCCTGGTCTACACAGTGAGTTCTAGGACACTATTGTAGGAACAATAAAAAAAAAAAAAACCTCTCTCAAAAACCCAACTCAGATTTCCAAATGTGCCTGTGTTTCCCGCGCCCCCACAGATATGCCCTCATTGGCCATCTTGAGCTGCCCTTAGGAAGCAAACAGTCCTCCAATAGTTTGAGCAGGGGAGCTCATACTGGGGTAGAATAAAGGGGGTGCACAGAGGTGATCAAAAAGTGTGGACGGGGTTGGACCAGCACCAGCCATCAGCATGGTCTAGGCAAAAAAATTTCCAAGCCAGTGACCTAAGCTGAGGTAGGAGACTACCCTCCCCTCACCCCCTGGGACAGGGAGTGTGACTGTTGTGAGGACCTTGAAATCACAGTGGGCTTCTCCCTTGTGGCAGGGAGCTGCAGCTGCAGGGCTTCGTGGACACAGTAATAAAACTGAGCGAGAAGAGCACCGTGCAGATGGCAACTGTCTATGAGGACCCCAAGCGCCAGGGCAAATGGCTCCAGGTAACTGACACCCCTGGAGGGGAAGCAGGGAGGCTTGGCCCGTGCCACAAGACGACCTTCATAGTGAGCCAACACGCCACCGAGGCATGCTTGCTTGTTGAGGATAAATCTGGAGTCCAGCCCCCCTTCTTCCAGATGTTTCACTTTTCACGATCACAGCTGAGCAGGGCATGGTGGCGCACGCCTTTGATCCCAGCACTCGGGGAAGAGGCAGGTGGATCTCTGTGCTTGGTCTACAAGGCCAGTCAAGACAGCCAAGGCTACACAGAGAAAACCCTGTCTCAAAAAAAAAAAAAAAACCCAAAAAACACAGCTAAGGCCTCAGTCTGGGCTTGTGCCTGGCCCAACATCGGGACCAGAGCTGGCTCGGCTTTGGTTCTGGAAGGTCCTTCTGCTCCAAACATCTCTGAGCACTTCCCAGGGGCTGGTGTGCCACCAGGGGCCTAGGATGAATAAGGACAGATGCCCTCACTCCAGACGCTGAGGATGAGAAAAGGGGACAGATGATGACAGCCTCTGGCAGGTCATTCACATGGCTGTGAAAACCTTCGGATGGCTTATAAGCCGGGCTCTAGTGGGGCTGGGCGCCACCAGCTCCTCGGGTGGCTGTGCCGTTGGCATGAAGGTTGCAATGTGTGTATGTAAGACTTGAACCATGGACTAGGAGACCCTTCCAGCCAAGTACGGAAGCCAACACAGAGCAAGGTAGAGCGACGCTTTAAATGGTACAAGCCAGAGTTGAAAGGTGAAGGGCGAGGGCCGCAGCTCCAAGTCGTTGCCTATAGAGTCCCAAGTTCAGTTCTCGGCATTGGGTTGACTGGGATGTGGGGGTGGTGCATGCTTGTAATCCCAGCACTTGGAGATAGAGTGGAGAGGTAGGAGATGAAGAACTCAAAGCCAGCCTTGGCTACAAAGTAGGTATAAAGGCTACAGGAAACTCTCTCAAAGGACCTCCCTTGTCTGCGAGGGCGCGCGCACGCGCGCACACACACACACACACACGGTCCCCCCCTTGGCTGAGATGCAGGGAACCCTGGTGGCGGGAGATCTGGACAGAAGACTTCACAGGGCAGGTCAGAGGTCATAGTGACTGCCTATGGGTCCCAGAAACAAACCAACTTGCTTTGTAAGTAGACCTGACAGGTTTGTCAGTGGGTTGGAGGACAAGAGCTTCTCGGTCTTACATGGGGAGGTGGGCTGTGAGTAAAGCCTCCAGGGAAAATCTGGAGGGATGAGCAGGAGCTAGTCGGAAGTTTCTACCTTTTCTCTGGCTGCACCCAGGGATCCATGCGGCAGATGTGGAAAGCCGCTGATGGAGCATTAACCACCGTCTTCCTGTCTCCCCTAGGATGAGATGGCTTTCTGCTATACTCAGGCTCCCCACAAGACCATCTCCTTGCTTCTCGACACCCCTCGGGTTCCCAATCTGGACGAATTCCCCATGAAGTACTCACTGGTGTGGAGCTTGGGCTATCTGAAAATCAACTTCGCCATCCTGGTGTTGAGCCAGGGATGGAGGGGGATAGTGGGGGGGGGGGGTACCAAGTGGCCCCTGGGGGGAGGGAGAGATGCACCTGACCATCAGTAGTGAGATGGCTCCTACATCCTGTCCGTCCCCCGACTGGGTCTCCTCCTAGAGTCCTGGACTTGGCTACCTGATCCGCCCAGCCAAGGACCACCGAGTGGCGAGCCTGGATTCCATCGGGAACCTGATGGTGTCCCCGCCCGTCAAGGCCCAAGGCAAAACCTACCCGCTAGGTCGGGTCCTCATTGGTGGCAGCTATTACCCAAGGTGAGCAGGGAGGCCAGAGGGCAGCAGGTGACCCAGGCATCTTAAAGCTAAAGGAAAGGGCCGTCACCCTGGTTCCAGTAACTTGGCTCCCCTCAGCAGACTTGCTCAGTATTCCTCTGGAAACTGAAGCACACTTGAGCCTTCGGTTTGTGTAGCACTTAAGTTAGAAAGTAAGCTTGCTGGGTGTGGTGGCGAAGACCTTTGATCCCAGCACTTGGGAGGCAAAGGTGGTGGATCTGTGAGTTCAAGGCCAGCCTGATCTACAAAGCAGTCCAGGACAGCCAGAACTATACAGAGAAATCCTGTCTCAAAAAACACAAAAAGCAAGCTTGCAGGCAGGGCTAGGAAGTGCTTGCCTAGCAACCAGGGGTCTCTGGGTTCAGTTTTATTCTTGATTCGAACCTCTATGAACTGAAGACCACCCTGAACTATGGGGGATTCTGTCTCAAAGTAAAAACTACCAAAAAACTTTTAATTCCTCAGTTTAGATCCAGTGATGCTGTTGGCCCAGAAAGACTTGGCTTTTCACAAAACATGGGGTTGGGTGGGAATGGCATTACTCTGAAAGTGGGTAATCCCATAGGCCATCATACTCAATTGGCAAGAGTGGTCCCAGCCTGACGGTGGCCTGATTCTCAGTGGCCCCAAGCAACAGCATCTCAAAGGCCGCTCTCTCCCTCTTCCTTCCAGCGAAGAGAGCCGGAACATGAGCAGGGACCTGCTAGACTTCGTGTATGCCCAGCAGGTGCAGGCACCCGTGGAACTCTTCTCAGACTGGCTGATGACCGGCCACGTGGATGAGTTCCTGTGCTTCGTCCCTGTAAATGACACACATGATGACGGGAAGGTTTGTGTTGGGGGCTGGAGAAGGGAGCATCTGCTGAAGACTCTAAGGACCCTGCACAGCAGGTGACTCTGGCCTTCCTTCCCAGGGCTTCCGCCTGCTGCTGGCCAGCCCCAGTGCCTGTTTTGAGCTGTTTGAACAGAAACACAAAGAGGGCCACAAAGATGTAACCCTGTTTGAAGGCATCAGAGCGGAACAGCTGTTTTCTAATGGTAAGGTGACTCTTCACCTGGTACCTTCCTTTTTCTTTAAGATAGAATCTAAATGTTGGCATGCTTTAAAAAAAAATATCTTTCTCCCAACTCCAATCCCTTTCAACACCAGGTAGGAGAGAGAAAGGGTTAGTCTGAGAGGGAGCTCAGTTCTTAGCTGCTGCTTGCTGGTTTAGGGTCATCGGGTTCCGTGGAGCCAGTCCAACCCTTGTTTAAGGAGATCTCCAACTTGTCTCACAACAGGAAGCGGGAGCAGCCTTGTTCTTCCTTTCTGGGCTCTGGCATTTATTCTTTCTCCAGAGTCCTCAGATCTAAACTATCTGCAGTTGACAAATAGCTCCTCTCAGAGCCTGCATGAGGGCTGCTGTGGACTATCTGAATCAGTCTCACATCCCACACCTGGGACCAAAGCAAAAACATGTTTATATCCGCAGTATCTAAGTGGCCCTGGCTGTCCTGGAGCTCACTCTATAGACCAGGCTGGCCTTGAACTAAAGAATTCGGAATGCCTCTGCCTCTGGATTGCTGGGATTAAAGCTGTGTGCCACCACACCAGCTACCTTCTAGAGCTGTGGTTCTCGAGCTTTCTAACGCTCCGACCCTTTAATACGGTTCCTCGTGTCGTGGTGATCCCCAACCATAAAATTTTTGTTGCAATTTGTGTAACTTTGATCCTGTTATGAATTGTAAATGTTTTTCCAATGTTCTTGATTGCAACCCACAGGTTGAACCTCTGTTTCTAGAGTCTTAATTTGTCATCCTTGGTAGACAGGGAAACCTAAGAAGTGCTGGGATGGCCCTTGTTGGGGCACCCCATACCGGGATGGGCCACTCTGTCCAAAGTGGCTCCATTAGCCCCAACCGGTGATGAGGGGTCACTGGGCTTAGTACCTGGCGCTAACACTTGTGCTTAAGGAAAGCACAAGAGGACCAGCAGGAAAGGTATGTCCTGAGCCAACTTCTGACATAAACATGATAGAACTCAAGAGTACTACCTTGCTCCAGAAAAGGAGGTGGAGGCATCAGGTTGTCAGGTACTCAGGGCTACCTACCCCTCTCAACTCCTGAGCGACTGTGTGGTAGGGCCTAGGGACACGTTTCTTGTCAAAGAGTGAGCAGTCGCGGGGATACATACCAGAAGGCAAAGGCTGTGTCACCTGTGAGCTGGCGGGGAAGGAACAAAGTCCGAGCTCTTGACCACAGGTAGAAGGGTGCTGGTCCACACTTAGGTGGTTATCGTCACAGAGCTGTGCAGAGGACCGAGGCGTCCAGCTGAGTTTGTGGGGCTGATGTCACCATCCTAACATCGCTGAGATTGCTTCCCTGGAGCCAGAGTTGGTGACTAGTGGCGGTAAACCCTGCCTGGGTTTCCGGTGTTGGGTACTCTGATGAACATCATCAGATCTATGATATCGGGCCCAGATTGTGGTCCCTGAGACTGACTCGGGCAGTCATGGGTCGGAGGATGTGCCAGTTGCTGCTGGGTCAAGCTGGGTGTTGATTTGACCCCTGCCTGGCCTCTCACTTTCCACAGGGAGGGAAGTCAGAACTATTGCCCAGATCCTGGCTGACGAGACCTTACGAAAGCAGAACGACTATGTGGAGGTAAGGGCCTGGGGTGCAGGACGGTCCCCAACAAGGCCTTGGCTCTGCAGGTCTCTCAGGAAGGTCTTTGATCCTAGTGGGGAGGGGAGCAGCTGCCAGGCCCAGATACGGACTTCAGGGGCTTTGTGACACTAGTGGCCACCCAGCAAAGACCAGTCCAGGGATACACCAATCTCTCCCACCTTGGCCTTTTCTCTGAACTCGCTTCACCTTCAGACTGCCATATTGTGCTAAGGATGCTGTCACGGCCCTACAGGGCTCCTGAGATTCGAGCCAAACAGAAGCCTCTCCTTTTCTGGATCTGTGAAGGAGCAGCCCCTTCCTGATAAGGCTCACAGTCCCCCGGCCCCTCTCCCCCTTTCCCCGTTCTGCAGAGGTGCATCAGCCTGAACCGCACCCTCCTGAAGAAGGAGCTGGGACTGGTGGACAAGGACATTATTGCCATCCCGCAGCTCTTCTGCCTAGAGCAGCTGACAAACGTCCCCTCCAACCAGCAGACCTCAAAACTCTTCGCGAGGCCATACTTCCCCAACATGGTGAGGGCGACGGGCATGCCTGGTTCAAACACATCTGCTGGTGCCAGATGGGTGTGGCCTGGGATGGAAGCCATACATAGTCCTCTGGGTTCAGTGTGCTGAGCATGAGGGAAGGCATTCTTTAAAGGTAGGTTGGGATAGGGTACACAGACAAGGCCAGAGCATCAAATCCAGAGACGAAGATCTGTTAAGTCACTAAGGTTAGGTTGCTGGTCAGCTCTGCTGAGAAATACTGGCAAACTAAGGAAAACCAGATTGACTTCACTGAGATTGATTAGTGATGCCTACACAGCCACAGGCCTTGGCAGTCAGGCCAACCCTAAAGTATGTGGTTTTTCCCTTTATCTAATTCTTGGTCCCCTCTCCACCAACCACAACCACCTGCACCAGAGGGCAGGACAGCTTTCTCAAGGCTGTCCTGCTTGACCCCCGCTCTGTCTTAACAGCTGCAGATGATCGTGTTGGACAAGAATCTTGGAATCCCCAAGCCCTTTGGGCCCCGAATCAAGGGCACCTGCTGCCTGGAAGAAGCCGTCTGCGGATTACTGGAGCCCCTGGGTCTCAAGTGCACGTTCATTGATGACTTTGACTGCTACCTGACCAACCTGGGAGACGCCTGCTCCTGTGCCATCGTAAAGCGAGTGCCATTTGCATTCAAGTGGTGGAAGATGGTTCCCTAAACCCTGGGCCCAAACGACCTTAACCAGAAAGCAGTGTTTGCACGGGGGTTGTAGGGAACGGAGTGTCACGGTAGATCCCTCAGAGCCACCAGCCTGACACCTCTTGGGCGGGGGAAAGGGGAGAGAAAACTGTCTTTATACAAACTCACTATGTCAATAAAGCACAGGTGCTCTGAATTTGCCTACGGGAAGCTGCCTTACTTTGGAGAAGGGGCTGCTCAGGAAACTTGCCCCACTTGGGTAATGGGAAATACAGCTGAACTTGAAACACTTTGACGAAGCTAAGCCACACTGATCTAAACTCCAAGCTGGAGGGAGGAGAGGGTCACCCCTAACACCTGGTCGGCTGGCCCCAGCAGATGGAGGCTCTCCTGGTCTCCTTGCTCTGTCAAGTGACCTGAGGGATAAAGGTGACTGGGTAAGCCTGTGCTGACCCTTAAAGCCTGCTGCAGGCCCCACTCTTAACAAGGCCTGGCTTACTGCCTGTGTCAAGGACAGCTGCTGTTAACAGCAAAAGGTACCTACCCTGTGGGCTCCGACCATCCTTGCAAACCTGAACTGGGTGGTGCTAATCCTGTGTGAGTAGGGGCCAAAGCAGGGTCTGGGGCCAGCAGTGAACCACATTACAACCCCACACTCCTGAGGATTGTACGTAGCATGGGGGTGGGGTGGCCTTGAAGTCTGATGGAGCAAGGGTGTGCAGGGCCTTACCCCAAGGTGTCCTGTAGGGGCTTCCTGCCCCGCACAGTGTAGATGTGACTCAACAGCTCTGGGCTGGAGGAGCCTTTTGGTGACTTGAAGCTATTAAAGCTGGGAGAGCTGCTCAGGGCCAGGTAAAGGTTTGAATTTGCCAGCTATTCTGGACTTGGTGACAACAGTTTGTCTTGTTCATTTGTTCTCGACTCCACTGACACTTCAGAGGTCTTTGTGGCTCTGGCCCGTACTGGACTGTGACACACTGCTCTCGGAGGGTAAAGGCTCCCGTAGCTACTTGCAATCCCGTTCACGGGTGGCAAGTTGTAGATCCATCCTGGAGTCGGGGAGAGCCTGAGCCCAGGAGGGGAACAGCACCTGCTTGCCTCAGCAGGGTTCCTTCCCGGGGGTGGGGTGGAGCTTGCCTACCTCTGAGGTCCCTGAGCAAACACTTGCAGGCCTCCTGGAGGCCTGAGCTTGGCTGTTGGCCCCTGGGCTACAGCAGCATGGGCACTGAGACACCTGCCACCGGCATCTATCTTCCACAGACCCAGACAGTGGCAGCTTCTCAAAACCGGTTCCAAGTGGTTCACAGAGCAGATGGTCCCTAAGAGTTTCTCAGGTCTGGCTTATGAGCGGCCCCTCAGCCTCGGCCTTGTACATTGTTAGTGGGGAAAAAAATGAACCCTGTCCCTGCGTAACGGCCCCTTGTGCTCAGCAGATAGAAGACCCTATGCTGAGACACCTCTGGGCAGGGGGGAAAACCCCAGGACCTCCCGAGCCCTGAACCTGAAGGCCCCAAGGTCCATTTACGACTTGGAGCTGCATTGCCCAACTTGAGGGTGGCATGGATCAGAAGTTGACAATCCAAAACCACTTGTTTTGAAATGGGGTCTCATATTGTCCAGGCCAGCCTTGAGCTCCCTTTGGAGTCAGAAAAGGCCGTGAGGGATCACAGGTTGTCAGGCATAGCAACTGAGTTTACCTAAGTTTGCTCCCTGGGACCCATCCAACAGGACAGATCGCCTTGTCATCTTCCAGGTTATTCTACATTTACGTAGGTCCACACACAAATGTAAAAACTACACTGCTAATCCTCTAGTCTCCAACCCCTCCATAGTTAGCAGTGGGGTTGTAACCCAACACCCTGGCAGGCTGTAGAAGCATGGCTCTGTACCTAATGGCCCTCTAGGCCAGTGGCTGGACAAGGCTGCCGCTAAGGCCTACACCTACCTTCTCGACAGGACCAAGTGTGTATGGTAGCAGGCCGAGTGGGGCCCGTGTCGTCCTCCTCAGGAAGCTGAAAGGGCTGCCCGTTGACCAGCTATGGGCTAGGGAGGCTGCTGGCCTCTCCAGACAGCTGCTCCATCAGCAACCAGCAGTACCCAGGCTTTTCTGCGGCAGCACATAACACGGTGGTTCTCACCTTTCACAGGTGTTGCCTAAGTCCACCGGAAAACACAGACGCTTACGTTATAATTCATAATAGGAAAATTACAGTTATGAAGTAGCCATGAAAATTTCATGGTTTGTAGGCGTGGGAGGGAAGAGAAACCATATTAAAAGGTTGAGAACCACTGCTGTAAAAGTATGGCTGGGGTCTCTTCAGCACTTCTGCCTCTTCCCAAAGGCAGTCTCTACTCCTGGAAGGGGGCCAGGGGAAACTAGGGGGCCTCTGTGGAGGTCTGGTGACCCGGCCCCCTTCCCTGTGACCAAGCTCATCTCGTGTCTCATTTCCCTCTACGAAACAGGAAGGCTCAGACTCAAAGGCTGTTAGTGTGTCACCGGAAGTGACAGCCAGGATGTGCGGCAGCCCCCAGGGACCTCAGCCCAAGCACCAGTCCTGCGGCGTCTAAGACAAAAGGGTGTCCTCCCAGCGCCCCCTGGTGGGTAACTGGCCAAGCTGAAGCAGCCAGGTGTCCCTCGGACGCCTGCAATTGCAGGCACTCCTGGCTTAGGGTGGGGCTGCATCCTGACAGACCCCCTCCCAGGGCTGAGGTGGATGTGACTAAGAATGAATGCTTGCTCATCTAGGTTTGATTCTCCAGGACCAAAACCCAAAAGGGCCCAAGTCAAAAACCCTTGACCTAAGATGTACGGTGGTGAACACCTTCATTCCCAACACTTGGTAGAAGAGGCAGGTAGGCCTCGAGGTCAAGGCCAACCTAGTCTACACAGGAAATTTCAGACCAGAGATGGCTAAGTAGTGAGACCCTCTCTAACACTTTAAAGAATAATTTCATGTGCATTAGCGTGAAGGTGTCAGAGCCTTTGAAATTGAGGTTACAGTTGTGAGCTGCCATGTGGGTGCTAGGAATCGAACCCGGGCCCTTTGGAAGAGCAGACAGTGTTCTTAGCCACTGAGCCATCTCTCCAGCCCCTCTAACACACCTAATCCATGGATGGGCAGTGTGAGACCTCTCCTTGCTTAGCCTGCTCCCATTAGCCCCCAGCAGGGCATATGCTAGGAACTGGAAAGGCACAGGCAGGAGGCCAGCGTGGGCAACACGAGACCTTGTTCACCCACAAAAAACAACCAACTGCCAAACTGGGACCATGTGTGTTTTGGGGGCACCTATGTGGCCAATCCGGGCCGGGAAGACCTTGGCCTCATCCCATAGGGCTCGTCCAGGCTCTCTGCACCACTTCTCTACCCCAGAATGAAGCTCTCCAGGGGGCTACTTTCATCCTCTCTGAACCCTTTCATGAAGCTCGTGCACAGGGCTGGACAAGGACGTGGACGCACTCCACACTACTGAAGAGGAATCATGAAAGCCGAGGCAGAGTAAACAATGATGCCGTTTATTTAAAATGTTTACTCCAAGAAATATATATATATAAAAAAAAATACGACAATTAACAGCACTAAACCAGGCACCTTCAACCGAATCCCATCATTCTCGTTTGCTCCCTTCACACTACCCTCTGTGGACGTCCTGAAAACTTCGGGAATCCACGGACGCTCAGAGCGGTTCCCACCCAGGGCTTCCCACTTTCCTCCTGTTCTAAATAATCCCTGTGGGAAAGCTTAGGTGGGAATTTTAGCCTACAAGGAGGGGTTGTGCCAGGCACAAGGCTCTCTACCTAGAAGACACTTTCTGCTCAGCCTCCACAGGGCTCTAGCCAGAGGCACCGGCTGCTGGCTTTAGGTTTGCTCCCTAGTAGATGAGCCCAGCTTGGCTCAGGGCCACTGTGTCCTCAACCCTCTTGGTGACCACACAACACCAGGAGACCTCCAGGATAGGAGGATCCAGGCCAGGAGGAGCAGACCCTCAGCAACACTCTCCAGAGAGCCCAGGGAAGGCTCGGGTCCTGCTGGCAGAAGGGCGGTGTCTGGGGTGACCTGGACAAAGCAGTTTAGTTTTGCAGAAGCCCTGCCACGACAGAAGCTTGTCTCTGAACTGACTAGAGGTGGACACACGATGGGAGACAGTGGGAACTCGGAGGGACCTGTTCCCGCCAGGCCATGGCACTGGCTTGGACAGACACACCTTGCCAGAAGCTGCTGTGGAGTGCTGGGGCAGAGGAAGCGACTATAGATCATTTTTGGCATTTTAACATAGAGACGGCATTTTAACAAGCGTCACAACAGCAGAAGCAAAACCATAAATCTGAAGAGCAGAATTGAACTTCCCATCCACCAGCCTCACACTTGACTCCTTGGGCCCCTCCCCCAGAGCACCACCGAACTAAACCTATTAAAGCAGACAAGCAGCCCAGACCCTCTGGAAACCAAGGCCCCAGCCCGAGCTGCCACCACACTCGGGTCCAGCGAGGAGGGATCCAGGAAAGGCACCTCGGAACTCAGCCACAAAGTCAACACCAGGACCGGCTCGGGCAGAGGGCACTTGTGGGGAAGTGGTGACAGTCACAGCATCCGCACTGACACGCGGGGCAGGGGATTTCACCAGGAATCCCAACTATTTGGTACCAGAGCCAAGCAAATGCAAGCAGCCAAAGAGCATTGGGGCCAGGGGAAGAAAGGCCATCCTAGGTAGAGGGGACAGCAGGAGCGGACAGGCAAAGCACACACTGGACGACAGCGGGTCAGAGGACTGAGAACACATATGACTGCTGGCTGATCAATCTCTAATTGGTAAAGCACAGCCTGGGCTCCACAAGAAGCCATAAAAGCAGGCCCTTCAACAACACAAAGGCTCCCCTCCTTGCCCACCCCCACATACCATGGTCCCAATTCTCATTTGGACTTGGAGAGCTAAAGTAGATATAAATGGCTAAACACAGACCCCAAAGCCCCACCAGGGGGGAAACAGCTGGTTCTACAAATGCTTCAGCCAAAAGGCCATGGGCCTTGCGGAAAGCCAGCCAGCAACAGCTATTATGGGGGCGGGGGCAGGGGCAGGAGCAGGAGCAGGAGCAGGCGGGCAGGCCCACAAGCAAGTGACGGGTCTCCCAAATTGGGCAGGCAGGAGTCTGGGTGGAGACAGACCGACCACCAGGGATTTCTTGGCCTAGAGGCTGCTGGTTCCTGGAAGGGCCATTTCTGTCTGGGAAAGTGACGATTGCTCTCCCACGTGGCACCCACTCGGATCACAATGCTAATTATGGCTGGAATGGGAGGGCTGGACAAGGATACTCAGGAGGGGGGAGAAAAGAAATACAACTTAAAAACAAAACAAAACAAAAAAACCCTAAATTGTTCAGAGTTCCTGCCTGTCTTGTAGAAAGGCAAGCTGGCTATAAGCAAATGTTTTAATCAAACGTTGAGGAAAAACACTTTGGAAAGCATACAGAAAAAGGTAGTTAACGTTGAATCAATCACTTGGAAACGGAACCTCAGGGAGGCTAATCCAATGCACCTTCGGTCAACTTTTGCTTCCTAAATTCCTTGTCTGACTTCTGGTCCCAGTGCACGTGGAAATGACAGCTGCCAGGAGGGGAGTGCCGATTTGCCTCAGAGGGTGCGTGGGGTATATTCAGGCAGCCTCTTGAGCTTCTCCTTCTCAGCCTCACTTTCATCTCGTGCTATCACCAAGGAGTGTGAATAGCCCATGGCGACCTGCAGAGACAAGCTAGTCAGCACAGAACAGGCATCCCACATCACATCTGTCAGATGCTCAGGTGCTGGACTGGCTTGATACGGGTCAGGGGGGAGAGAAAGTGGGCCCCGGGAAAGAAACAAACCCTCTTCTCCCCGCTAAGAACCTGCTCTTGCAGGACTGGGACGATGCAAGCCCCACCCTTCCAGGCCTACAGGAAGCTCCAGAAACTCCTTCTGGCAGGGACTGGGGTGCAGCTCCACATTGTACTTGACCCTGACCACAGGCCAAACTGTATCACCTGCTCAGGGACTAGTCAGTCCCTGGTCCTGGCCTAGTGGCAAGGATTCCCGTTTGGGGGTGGGGGAGTGTTACCACAGCAGCAACTCCACTGTGGACCTGGCCAGCACCCTGCCCCTCTCCTACTGAGCGCTGTACCCTCCAACCAACATTCTACAAGAAAACTAGTCACTGTGGCACCACAAGCATGTACGGCTGTGACAGGCCTCACCTGTTCAGAGAAGATGCCGTCCAGAGTCTTCACTTCCTGAGCTGCGGTGGAAGACTTGGGCTTGTGGTCCCCATATCCCTGGAGAGAAAGGCAGAGATGACAAAAACATGGACAGTGTAAGGGCCAACAGAAGGGAAACGCATGTTTCCAGATACATCTAAAGAGGCAAGATCATGTGGATTATGGACTCATGTGCAGAGCTCCGGTGGTCGACACCCAGTCAGACCTACACACCACAAGCAACATATACAAGATAAGTGACGGTGGCGCCAGCCCTGACACTTGACCAGGAGGCAGGAGCCGATTATCAGTGACAACCCAAGCCCACTGCTGCTAAAATGCAAAGCTGTGTTTGGGAGTGCATGTATTAAAAAAACATTTTTAGAAATGTGCCTGGCTACTCTGCCTGCATGTCTGTCCATGTGCCACTTGTGTGCCAGTCACTTGCAGATAGTTGTGAAGCACCATGTACGTGCTGGAAGTCAAACCTGCGCCCTCTACAAGAGCAGGCAGTGCTCTAACAGCTGAGCCATCTAGCTCCAGAAGAGCAAGTAGTTTTTGAGACAAGGTCTTGTTAGGTAGCTCAGACCGGCCTGTTACATCACTATGACACTGACATTCCACTATGAATTTAAGTTGTCAAGACTATTTTTGATTGCCCCCCCCCCCCCCCGCAAGCAAAGCTGTCCAAAGTCAGGTATAGTGGTGATCACCTTTAATCCCAGTACTTGGGAGGCAGAGGTAGGCAGTCCTCTGAGTTGAGGCTAGCCTGGTCTAGTGAGTGAGTTCTAGAGTAGCCAAAGCTATATACTGAGTCACTGTCTTGAAAAACACAACAAAAATCCACGCCAGCCATCCTCCTCTGAAAACACAGAAAACAGAGGAAAGCCCTCAATCTCTTTGAGGGCTCAGAAGGGGTCCCTGAACCCCAGTGATAGCCTGAAAGACAAAGACAGCCCAGCCACATGGCCTCTGTCAATGAGAAAACTTCTACTCCCAGAGGATGGAGTAAGAAAATAAATGAGGATAGTCAAGGGTCACATCGAAGATGTAGCCCTGGCTGCAGGAGTTACACAGAATGCACAGCCAACCCTGGCCTCCTCACAAAGGTAGAATCATTGAGCTCTAGGACCTAAAGATAGGACATCTGGATCCACTCCAGCTGCTGGGTCGAAAACAAACTGCAACTGGATGGGAAAATGAAGAACAAAATCCTCCAGTCATTGGTGTGGCCGGCCTAATGACACCAACCCCAGAGCACAAACCAATCATCATGCTGGCTGCCTATGCTAAGCACAAAGCCTGGATGCCTCAGGAACCAGGAACTCGTATGTCTCCTGTGAGTGTGGACATGGGTCCCAACAGCAGGAAACTGTCTCAGCATTGTAGCCTCCCATCTGTTCTACAGAAAGGCTGGCCAGGACAGCCTTAATACTTCAAATAAAATGTGACCCAAAGTTACACAGAAGGACAGTCCTTAGTGGACAAGGACACACGGCTAGTTCACTTCTTTCCAGACCCTGGCGCGCAGGCTCACCAGTTCCCCGAAGGTTGGCGACGGACCCCAGCTAATGGTACTCTCATCAGCCGCTACGATGATGCTGCTCTTCCTGAAAACAGGCAGAAGCTGTCACCACCCATCCAGAGACCAGGACACCCAGTGTTGCCACGCCCACCCCCAGACCACAAACTCAGTCAGGGGTGAGAGGCCAGCACCAAAGCAAGGCCCTCACTGCCCATATCT